TAAGTGGGGTAATAAGGCAGGTAGTAAGATGCTAAAAGAAACACTGGTCTGTGACGGTAGTTTCAGAGGACGGAATGTTGAGTGTGATACTATATACCAGTACATTTACAAGTGCAGTTTAGAAGCTTGAATGTTGTTTATGTGTAATATTTTAATTGTTTAAGAGAGTGATGGCTTGTGGGAAGAAGCTTCTCTGTAGCCTGGATGTCCTGATCCTCATTTGGCTGAAGCGCCGGCCTGAGGGAAGGAGCTGGAACAGGTGGTGTCCGGGGTGTGACAAGTCAGTGGAGATTTTCTCTGCAGGCTTCCTGGTTCTGGAGGCATGCAGTTCCAGCTATGTTTGCAACTTAATCCCAATTGTCCTCTATGCAGACCTGATGATGTGCTGCAGTCTGTGGAGGTCATGCTCTCCACTCTGATGGACGTGGTGATGACGGACCATCAGCTCCTTGGACAGGTTGAACATCCTCAGCTGACACAGGAAGTACATCCTCTGCTGGGCTCTCTTGATGATGGAGCTGATGTTGCTGTCCCACTTCAGGTCCTTGGTGATTGTTGTGCCCAGGAACTTGCAGGAATCGCTGTATTCAGCACCAGGTTGTTGTGGCTGCTCCAAAGGGCCACCTGATCAACCACCCATCTGTAAGCAAAGTTCAAAGAGTTCCCAATCCCAGCCCTGCAAACCCACACTGTGTACATTTTTGTGTGTTGTCTCATCTAGCACACCTGATTCAACTCAATATCTAATTATAATCATGTGTGAATCAGGTGTGCAGAGGTGGGGAAAACACAAAAAAATACGCTGAGCACGGGGTCAGCAGGACTGACAATGGGAACTGTTGAAGTTGGTGTCATGCCCAACTACGGGTCCAAGCTGTTTGTTTCTGCAAGGAAAAAATGAATGCTAATTTTCAAAATCGCCACTGTAGCACTGTGTGGTAAACAAAATTGCTCCAAAGCCGGCATGTTTTATCCAGTGTACTATTATTTAACACCACCAGCTCAAACTGGTGTAACTGCCAAATCAGCTATCACATTTGACGAAGCTGGTTTGCATGGGGTATTTTGGTGAGATAGTCAGTCTTGTGGTGTCAGTTCAATGCATAGCAGTGTAAGTTTGCATGTATAATATTCTTATTTTGACTCCTTTATGACCTTATTATTCCCAGGACCCAGTGATATTCGAGAGAAAGATGCACAAAGGACAAAATGAATTGGCTTTGGAACAACACAATTTTAGAAGTCTATTGGCACTCTTGCTGTCATGCAGCCCTAATTTGCGTGCGCCTGTGCGAACTGTGAGGCCGCTGGCTGTGCCATTTCTCACTTTAGTGTTCAAAGGTGTGCTCTTAATGCAGTCATTGGCAAAGACTGAGTCAATCGTAGGATCAGCAGCAATTCCTTGAGTTACAAGCCACCACCCTCCCTTATCGTAGTGAGGACCTAACATGTTATGGACATGTTATAAAACTTATTAAACAGGCTACTTATATGCATAAAGCAACTCCTAGCAGGCTGCCTCAGCACTACAGGATTTGCAATGCATGATTTAATGTACAAATAATGTACAAATATCCAAACTAGTCTCTGTGATACTTTCATCGTTAGCTAAGCTAGCTAGTAAACTAGCTTGTAAATGATTATCATTGGTTGTCAACATTCTCTATTTTATACTGAAGCTTACTGGTAGTTTGGACTCACATCCACCTCTCTTCTCCTCCTGATAGGGACATTAGGGACAGAGACTGTATTTCAAAACGCTGCAGTGGATGCAATGGTGGCCACATGTGGGCCTCCATATTAGTGGCCCACAGCCAAGCAAACATCCTACACGGATCCAGTGTGGGGCCACTGTGGTCTAAACATTTGTCAGTCATGCAACTGGGGGCCTGTGCCCTATGTTAGTGGCCCTCACTAAAACCTCTAAAATGAGGTCACAGTGCAGGCTTCCTGAAGTGGGGCCCCAATCATTCATGAAACTGTGGCATATCTGGGCCCCATAGTGTGGGCTTTCTGCACCAGCGAAGTCTGACGCAAAATGCATTTATTTTAGAACTGCTCTATACTAATTGAACCAGATGACATTTCCAACCTAATCTCATTAAAAAACTGATACATGATATATGAAAAAGAAATATGATCAGTGAAAAGAGGCCTTGCTCAAGCACTGCTTTACGTGATTGCCTGTTCATCTATGTGGGAGCCCTGGCCCTGCTATTATTGTTTGGCTCAGTCACAGTGACTCCCGGGATCAACATATTAACCAGTTTTTGGATCTACCAGTACACAGAAGTAGCTATTAAACACTTAATTAACATCAATGAAAACACTGTTGCATGTGTATATGTAAATCACACGCTTAAAGTCAAAAATCAAAATTGACCTTTTTTACTTAGGTAATTCATGCTCCAGGTCATATTAAGCACAAATAATCATATATTATTTAAAACAAACAAAAAAAATACTGTAATACTTTATCAAAGTGAAATGACTTTTGCCCACCTCTGAAATGTCTTCTGATTTTTGACCGTTTGCTGTCGCCGTGCAGCAGGCAGGGAAAATATTATCCAATAAAATCATGTTTGACCTGCCCCTCCCATAACCTCCCAAAGCTCAGACACCTTCCCTGACACTGTGTTTCACTCAGAAATACGTCACTGTACACAAATGAAAATGCATTATGACGTTGATCTTACTATTGATGTTTGAGCCCACACAAGATTTTACTTTTTCATCAACTGACTTTTCATATGGGCATGTTAATAAAAAAATTTTTGTGACTTTATTGATAATTCTTTCAGTACCTTTGCATTAATTACAGTAATAATCCAATACCTGTAAGTGGAGAAGTTTTCCAATATACTTACATCACATGCTTCAGTAAAAAAAATCATTTACATTTGATGCACCTGTGTATCCTCATAATTTAAGCTTTTCTCCTCACTCCGTGATTCTATTTAAAGTATTGACTCATCTTTATGACTGAAGGATGTAGGAACAAGGAATTGAGGAGTAATGAGATGCAACATGTTTTGGCCATGGAGAATATGTGGATTTTTTGCATGGAGAAGTTGCTGAAAAACACCTGAACTCAAACATTGGTATTTACAATTTGGTACTTGTGGTAAAAGCCTGCAGAGAATATTATTACTATAACATAGTATTGCAATATTTTGATGTTTAAAATAGTATCTATACTCAAAGGCTCAGGTAGCAATTTTTATTTAATTCTGAATATTTTTAACATGTATTAAGCCCATTGTTAGGGCAAAAGGATAACGAAATACATTGGGCCTCATTTACCAACCATTCTTAAGAAATTTCCTCTTAAAGCCCACTTACAGAGTTTTCATGAAGATTCTGACATTCACCTATTTTTTCTTATTTGGGATTTGTTCTTAGGTAAGAATAGAATCTAAAGACACTCAAGAGCACAAAGGTGTGAACAGCTCTGTGGGTTCAGAACATGTCATGAATCTGATGTAGACTTTTTCTTAGGACCTTTATCAAGAACACATTTAAGAAGAAACTTAAGAAGATGTTGGTGAATGAGGCCCATTATTTTGTGCAGCTGAGACTTTTATTTTCTTTCTTGTAAGGCCAGTGATGTCATTGATAGGAGTGGTTGGACAGTGTAGTGGGAAAAACAATATACCATTTAGGGGCCTTGGACAAGACTTCTAATATCATGTTCACACTTTGTGGGTTCTCAGGTGATTCCCACCACTATTTGATATTGTACAACAATATGCAGCACTGACATATCTGGGCATTCTGACTATTACTTATTTTAAAAAGTAGCAGAGAGTAGGGGACATATTTTGTTTTCTGCTAAGTGAAAACATAAACGTTGTTTAGGCAGCACCTAACATTTATGAAGGATTTGGCCAAAAGCACCGCAATTGCAAACATTACAACCTGCCCCATAGGCATTGATTGTAACAGGCTAAGAGGCTAGCTGTAACACTCAGTAAAACGTCTGATAAATTGATGCAAAATGCATTTATTTCAGTACTGTTCTATACTGTTTGAACCAGACAACCTTTCCAATCTAATCACATAAAATATGATACATGATAAATATGATACGTAAAAAATATGATTAGTGAAAACAGTCTAGAGAAAATTTGTTTAGCCATAATAAAGAATGCACATTAGCCAAGAGGAAGTACCCTACAAATGATAATTTTGTATATATTTATATTATTATTATCAAAAGTAATTTATCGAGTTTGAATAAATCCTAACATAATCCAGTAATCCAAAATCCATGATTCAAAGTCTGAATACTTAATTGTTTTTAAATAGTTTTTTTTTATACTGGAGCTGCAGTTTGCAGTTTATTGAAATGTATTGTATTGTACGATGCTGTGTTTAACTCTGTTCCTTGTTCTCTAGGTATCAACATGGACTTCTGTTTCTAGCAGTATCTGAGCTCAGGAGTAGCTTTCTCTCTAACCTATTGATAACTAGCAAAGATATTTTCTCTAGATAGACAAAGCACTTTTTGTAAGTCGCTCTGGATAGGAGCGTCTGCTAAATGCTGTAAATGTAAATGTAAATGTTTGAACTAATTTGGTAGAATCGTCCATGTAGGAGGTATGGATATTTCTCATTGTTTTCCTTAAGCTTAGTTGTAATACTGCATTACAAATAACTGAGCCATGTGGAGACTGTACTTTAGCTTGGCAAGCATGTGAGCGGCTAGCATCTCGCCTTTCCCTCTGTGCTAGGTTGTGCACCACTGTCCCCTGCAGTTTACAACCAGTGCATAGTAATGTTCAACAAACGGTCAAAAGTATGGGAAGCTTTGGAATGGACTAATTTTCCAAAACTCCCTCTTGTTTTTTCTGTAGTATCAAAAAGTAATGTATAGTAAGTCATAGCTCATGAAAGGGGCTTTAGTGAATGTCCTCCAGCAGGTAGTAGACCACAAGAAGGCTCCAATATTCCAGTGTTCTAGAAGAGAGCAGCAAATCAGACACACAGCTTCCAGAAGCTTTTATAAAAAATTAAACCCTTTTATTGTGCTGGAAATACAAAAGAAATACAAAAAAGAAACATGGACAGCAAGAGGGACACTCAGTCAGTTTATCAGACAGTCTTTGGGACAGCTCAGTCTTTCAGTATGGCGATCTTTGTTGACCGCTCAGTCCTTTTTATCAGGTCATCTCTGGGATAGCAGTCTATTCGTTTTTCTGTACTTTAAGGACCTTGTAGAAACTTCACTCAGGCACTCTCTAGGCCATTTCATTCTTGTCCGCTGCCATCTCGGTGTGGCTGGTGTCAGGGCCCCCAGGTGCCAGCAGGGTGCGGCGGTTATAGTGGCCCTTCATGATGCCTGAGTTGTTGTTTTCATTGAGGATCTGCTTCTGTTTCTGCCGGTTGAGGGACTGGACAAGGCCGAGCACCACGGCGGCGAGAGAGTACTGCCCCGTGAGCTTGCGTGGCTGCAGGATCAGAGGGTTGGGCTGCACGCGGCCCAGCAGGAAGTGCGTGCGGATCTTCCCTTCCTGCTCACTGATGCCCTTCACGTAGATCTCGCCACGGTACTCGAAGGCAAAGCCGCGCTCCGTCAGGATGGCGTAAGTTTCTTCAGGCACCTGTATCTTTCCACTGACCCCGGTGCTGTCCATGCGGCTGGCCAGGTTCACCGTCTTCCCCCAGATATCGTACTGAGGCTTCTTAGCGCCGATCACACCTGCAACTACGGAACCATGGGCCATGCCTGACATAAGAGAGGAGAGGAGAAGACAGAAGAGGAGAAAGGAGGAGAAGATATAAAGAAAGAGGTGAGGAGAAAAGAAATAGGAGGGAGGGGAGAAGAGAGCAAATTATTAAAAAGCAAAACAAGAAAAAAGCTTAAGGTTAATACTCTCCACATTTCCTCATGTGAATCAATGAATAAAACCCAGGAATACTCCAGTATTTTCCACAAAATTTATTTCTTCCGTGGGTGCGCGGCACCACCTCTAGATTTCAGAATTGTTTATCTGAAAATATATCTGACCTTTAAATACTTTGAATGTAGTAAAGATTTACCTGTGCTTATATATAAGTTTTATATATATATATATATATATATATATATATATATATATATGTGTGTATGTATGTATATATATATATATATATATATATATATATATATATATATATATATATATATACATACATACAAATATATATAAATATACATTTGTATATATATATTTACATGTATATATTTTTAGAAGCAACATGCGCCACACACGAGGTACTTTAATTAAAGCAAACGTCTCCCATTCTGTGTACATTCAAATGCTGAATATCAGTGTGACTGAGGGTGTAACACAAGTGATTACCATGCCACACATCAACAAGCTGATTGGATCCCAGTAGGCTTATAAAGTTCATTTAGAAAGAGAAGGAACAGAGAAATCAGGATGTGCATCAGTGCACTGATGTGCCATTTATGTATATTTGTGTATACTGTTGTGTCTCGCCACACTGGGGCACGTTATGGCATTTTGTTTGATGAAAATTATCCGAAACAGATGAATGAAAAAAAGGAAAATCATTTTGCTGGACGTCACCATTCATATCATGTATATGCTGCTTAAAATGTCAGCACAGCCAGTTTAAAGCACCTTCCCACGTCCCTGTCCATGGCACACTGTAAAAAAAGTATTTTCACTATCAAAGAACTGTAAATTTTAATGGTCAAAAAAAACATATTTTTTAAAAAGTTAAATGCATACAAATAAACCATACATATACTGTATTTAAACACTGCTGATGTTAATTTACAGAAATAGTTTTAATTGAGAAAATAATTAAGAAAAGAATTAAGAAAATAATGGTTGAAGAAGATAAGAGTTGAACTAGTGTAACTGTTGAATTACAATAAAAAGCAATATTTAAAAATTAAATGACAGTAATTGTACAGACTTTTTACTATTACTGAGAAAACATACTTTTATTGTTACTTATCAGGTTTTATCTGGCATCCCTGCTGCCACGTTTTACTTTTTTTTAACGTTTTTTCTAGACACTGTAATTGACCAGAATCTACTGTATTCTACAGATGTATCAAATAAAAGATTATGTTAATGGTTAAGAAGGTTCTTTCTTCTCCTGAAACATTCTATTCTTTTCACCCTATATGCTAAGGAACTTATTCAATAACTCCCTCAAAAAGTTTTAATTAGCTCACTCTTACCAATACGAAGCTGGAAGTTGTTGAAGGAGTGTTTGTTGATCTCCTGGATGCTCTCGTTCAGAGCAATGGCGAAGTCAGCCAGAGCACACAGGTGGCCCCACTTATCCTCACATTGCTACAGCAACACACACACACACACACACACACACACACACCAACATATACATTAGCAGGAATAGGAATAGGCTACCACAGGTGGAAAATACTCGAGTAAAGCTGTATATCCATTTGTAACAATTTTGGATATAGAAAACATATTTTTATTTCTATAATAAAGGTGGTATTAATCATAAAGTAGTAACTATTATTGCTAGTATGTATAAACCTCCCCTTCCAACTATGTATGTCATGAAAAAAAGAAAATTCTCAAAAGTTGTCAATAATGCATAATGCGACCAAACTCGTCAATTGTACTTTGCTGTACTTAAGGAAGATTTGTATTTCCCTGAAGTATAATAAAAACTGAACACTTCTACTTTTACTCAATTACATTTTCTAAACAAAACACATTTTCTACTTCTACTCTACTATGTAGACCTTCAGAGTACTCATTACAAATGTCTTGCCAATCAGAGTGTATTGATGTCTTTGAGTTTATTGTTATTATTAAAACATCCAAACAAAACCATATTAATGTAAAATGAAACTGCCCACAACTTTATCTAATTTGTCTTTAATTGGCTAATTAATTGCCACATCACACCACCAAGCAATGAAAACTCATAATTTACTATGTACTTTTTATTTTTATATACTTGAGTGTGAATGTAGAAACTTTTATTTGCTCTCACTCAGTTACTCATGTTTGGCTCCAGACTTCATCCATCATTGGTAATGGGTTAAGAATTTGAAACAGTACCCATACTTTCACTTAAGTACAGTGTCTCTGTACCCTACAATATACATTGCCATTAATCAGTCTGAAATCACAGATTAAAAGTTTGGAATAAATTTTTTCAGCCCTTTAACCAGTTTGGTTGCAGATAAATGGATAAAATGATTCTACTATGCTAGTTCTATGCAACTTCACAGATTTTAAATGATCAGGAAGGAAATGTAATAAAAAATGAAAATGAAATGTTATATGTGTCCAGAACCATAAACAGAAAACTGAGAATGAAGTTAATATCCATGTACAATTAATAAAATTCGATTAATTAATGTGGTTAATACAATTATCAAGAACGCCTCATATTCCAAGTAAGACAGATTTCATTGCAGATAACTTCATAACGAATGACTGTACATAATTTCAGTGCATCTTCTTGCTGCTTGTCAAAAACTTGAAATACTAAACCAACATATACCTTTAGTACGTAGGAGTAGGAGTGTGCATATGTGTATTTTACCTGTTTTTCTGGTGACAGACCAGACACTGCCATATATGTGCTGCCAATAGTCTTAATCTTCTCAATGTCCTGAAAACGATCTTCCCCCAGCAGCTGTGGAGGGAGAGACAGAGACACAGAGAGAAAGAGCAAAAAGAGAGTGCAGAGAAAGAAAAAAGGAGATTGAGTGAAGTGGAGAGAAAAAAAGAGATTCATCTAGATCAAGCTCTATAGCAGGAGCTACTGCTACGCGATATATCACACAAACCTGTGCAGTGGTATTGATATTATAGAACAGCACTGATTTACACTGTTTTGAAAGAATGCCTAAAAATACAAAGCTAAATTAATAGGACGTTTCCTGCCTGGTTAACTTTTAATACTATGTAAGGTTCCCTTTGGTGTAATTTTAAGAGAAGAAAACAAAATAAAACAGTCCAATCAGAAGAAAACAGGCTTTGTTCAGGCAGGATTGTAGGATGTTTGTAAGCACCTGAGCAGCAGCACTCAGGAAGTGTGGGGTCTTTAACTTTATTAATGATAACTTAAATATCATCTGATATCATGATAGTACACTGTAAGAAAGAAACTGTTTAGAAAACTCAACATTTCAAGGCAACATAATGCATTAGGATTTTTGAATTCTGTTAACAGCTGCTTTGTAGTCATCCTTACTTAGTTTAATTGTTTAACCAACTTATATTTCCATATTCATCCAACATTAGATTGTGAATAAAACAATATATTTTAAAAGAGGAAACAGGCTATACTCTAATAAAAGATGGTTCTTCAAAGGTTCTTTAGTAAAGAAAATGGTTCTATATAAAACTATGAACACTCAAAGAAGCCCTTGCATGATTAAAGGGTTCTTTGCATCACAAAAGTGTTCTTCAGATTGATGGAGAATGTGCTGTAGATGGTTCTATATAGAGCCTTTTTGAAAAGAGATCTATAGAACACCAAAAAGGGCTCTTCTATTGTAATACTAAAAGAACCCATTCTGGTGCCATATAGAACCCTTTTTTTAAAAAAGGTTCTATACAGGACCATCTATAGCACATTCTCCATCAATCTGAAGAACTCCTTCACGGTTCAAAGAACCTTAATCATGCAAAGGGTTCTTTGGGTGTTTACAGTTCTATATAGACCCATTTTCTTTACTAAAGAACCCTTGAAGAACCTTCTTTTTTAAGTACATTAAATTAAATTTATGTCCACTGGAAGACACCGTCATCCAGAATGACCGATGTTACTGAGGTATTGTAACGCTAGGAGTCTTGCCCAAGCAAGGACTCAAGACATGGTGTGTGGTCAATAGAAATGATAATAAGACATCACCATTCTGGTTTTCAGTTTAGCATAGCAGGTAACGCCTCCACCTGGAGTTTTGATTCCCTGCCCAGGCAAACACATCATTGTTGCACCAATAAGCATCACTATATTAGGCTACTAATGCTGCATTAACCTACCTTTGTATAGTGGTTGGACTGGAAGCCATTCTGGATAAGAGCAACTGCCAAATTCCGTAATAAATTTTTGTTTTCTAAAAAAAATGAGTGCTGTTGGCAGCCTAACTTTGGACAAAAAAAAATGTACGTTGGTAAAACAAATTAATATTAGTAAGACTACAAATGCAGCTTTAGAGAAAGCTCAAAAACTGCATTCTATCAATAGCTTTTTTACAGTGTATGATATATTTGGAAAATATTATGATACTGAATTTTATCAACACCAGCACTAGCAGGATTCGTGGGATGTATGAATTCTCTGTAAACCCTCTTAACCTATAGCTATATTCAACAGCATCCCCACTGCCTCTAGAGTTGGAGAATGCCACTGCTGTTGAGAGAGACCACTCTAACCTGACCTCACTATCAGCCACAGATACAAACAACTCATCTCTGTCCTCCACAGCTCTCTAAACTGCACATAATGCACAGCCTGTCACTGTACTACACTTGAGGCTCGATCGCAGGGACTGGGCTTTGGGTCTTTTCTTCTCCTTCTAGCACAAAGGTTCTGTACATTTGTGGTGTTTTCCTCAACCTAACATCTTATTAGCCAATTTTCAGGTGTTTCAGAACTGGGAAAGTAAAGGCACAAGTAGGAAAATATAGTAAGAAATAAATGCCTTAAGTTTAAAAAGACCTTTATATTCCCAACAAATGCTACAAAAATAACATAAATTATGTATGATAACTTTCAGTTAAACAAGTAAAATAGAAGATAAATAATCTTCTAGTGTACTAGTTAAGAATATAAATATCATTAAAAGAAGATCGACAGTGACACATTTTGTTGTTTTGGCTCTGTGCTTCAGCACCTTGTGTTTAAAATGCGACAATGCCTGGAGGTTAAAGTGCAGAATGTCAGCTTTAATTAGAGGGCATGTACATCAATATGACAACAATACTGTGCAAAAGTCAGACTATCATTTATTTAATTTCCAGTCAAAACAGCCATAAAGTAAAGAAAATACTGAAAACAGCTGTTGAGCCTTCTGTGTAATTTTCGGTTACCTGTTCAGTTTTCGTCTTTTTTTGATAAATAAAAAAATAACTTGCTGTTTGACTTACTAAGGACAAGACAAACAGCAAAAACCATGAATATCCAGTCTGTGCATAACTGTATACTGATGTTAGTGCCCCCTCCATCTACTTGGGTGTTTCTTTTTATGCTCTCAACATACAGAGTTTGCATGACAAAATTATTACTTAATTTAATGTTCATTTGTCAAGCTACTTTTTTGTCCTGAAATAGGGGAACTATTTTTAAAAAAGCTCTGTGATTTCTATACACTCTCAGAAAAAATGTATGAAACTGTCACTGGGGTGACTCTCAGTACTTTTATTCAGGGAGCATAATTATACATTTAGTTAGGCAGCATAATCCATCGAAATTATATTTTCTAAGTTGTATTTACTCCACACACCCCTTCTCATCTCCAGGTCTTTTATATTTTTGTTCTGTTTTAAACCATTTGATTATAAAAGGTACAAATATGTACTTTTCCACTGGAAAAAAAAAACTATTTAAGGTGCACAATTGAACCTTAAAACCACTGTTGTAACTTTAAGGGTACATTAACATTGTTTGTACCTTGATGAATGAAAAATGTACCTGCACAGTGCATTTATTTCAAACAGTGTATGGGTCACCAAATAGCCTGGACTATAGAAATTCTGTCATTGTCCAGTTGAGTTTACGGGAGGATAGGAATCCCACTTGGTCTCCCAGGCTCTGACCATAATCCCAGCTTATCTTCTAAAACTAGACTAGACAAAGGCTTCTCAATACTTTTAAAGTATTCCATCACTCTATATAACCTCATACATGCAGAATTCTTTTCCACCCTTTTTAAATTTCATTCTTGTTCCATACTATCAGTTACATTTGGCTGTAAGCTTAAAGAGACAAATGGTCTCCCATTGAGGCCCTAAGCTTCTGAAACCATCCATGCTCCTCCCACAAATTCATTCTTTCATAGCAATTGTTGCCTGGTTGGACAAGCTTTACAGAATAGTGGAATATATTCCCATTCAACTCAATAAGAAATTGTACTGCACTTTGTTTTAGAGTCACTGCATAACACTGCTGGACTGTTTGCTAAAGTTTTCTGTAAAACTTATCCAAAACCGAAACAGTAGCTACAAAACAACACATTTGTGGCTGGAGCATGGATCCATCAGTTACTCACAGTGTGCACTGTAGTCAAGTTTATTTAGAATATTTTTTAATATAGTTTCCTTTGTTAAGGCTGTCTGTGTCTTGGCGTATGTGTGCTCAGTCCTGACCTCATCAAAGTCGGCGATGATCTCGTTGAGCAGCCGCAGACACTCAACTCCCTGATTGTTCATTTCAGTCTGAGAATAAAAATCAGCAAAGCCAGGAATAGAGGCGAACATCACTCCAACCGCATCATAGGACTGAGAATACAACTCCTACATAGAGAAAGAGAGAGAGACGAGAGAGAGAGAGGGAGAGAGAGAGAGAGAGAGAGAGAGAGAGAGAGAGAATGTCGAAAGGAAGGAGAGAGAAAATACAGAAGCATACAAACAGAAGGATTTGCTCATTAACTGTTCATTCCGTGTGGCAGTATGGTGGAGTGTGTACTGTTTTTGAAGCATATACTTGCATACAAGTACACGTCTTCTACAGAGAAAGGATTTCTGCACATTTCAATGCACAATTACTGTTTATTTGCTGAATTCAACCTATTGAGGACAAAATAAAACATAACATATTGCTTGTGCAAAAGTTACGGCACATTTTATAAAGTATGCTTTCTTCCAGTATGTTAAACTCAGCCGATAAACAGAAACTGTGCACTAAAATTTGCAGAAAAATGTAATTTGACCAGGAGTATTCAAACTTGTTGTACTGTCTTTTGTCATATACTCTGGCACATATGTTATTATAAAATCACAGGGTGATTCAAACTTTTGCACATGAACTCTCTGATGAGGGTTATCTGATGGCCTTTTGAAGGGTAGGCTGGATTCCTGATTAGGGCTTTTCCATAGGCATCTGTTCCACTCAAGCATCCGCTGACACAAATCTCCCTGTCAAAGAGCGCTGATTAGTCTTGCAGTAACCTAAACAGAAGCCTTTAGCACGGTAGTCTCAGTCAAAGAGCATTCAAACTCAGAGATGTAATTTATGCAAGGGATGGTGGGGACACTGAGGGCATGTCCACACCACTTTTTGACATTCACAATTTTGCCACTAGCACTTTTTTATATAGAGGCATAGTGCAAAAACCTGTTCAAACACTTTCTAAAAATGTTCGTAAGTCCATGCAGAAACAAGTTTCATCATTACACTGACATAAAGGCTCTGCCAGTTACATGGTGTACTGACAATAAATAAGAACTGCTCTATTACTGTGTGTGCTGAGATAAGAGAAATAGCAGCTAACCGCAATATTTCTTTTCTGACCAGGGTAACAGCAGCATAACAATCCATATAACAGATTATTAAGACAAATATAATTATTTTCTCTGGCCACTGACATGCCTGTATGGTTTCTGACAGTGTATGATGTAGTCATGTCTTTAATAACATAGCCACAGCTAATTAGAGTAACAGCAGCCAAACTAAAACCTAAATTGTATCTGTACTTTTTCTATTTTTATAGATAAAAGTATGTCACACAGAGTCAGAAACCATGTAACAGAACTCATACACTCACAGAAATCCCAGAAGAGTCATGGGATATAGAATTTTTTTTAAGCAAGGGAAAAGGCCTTCACAGAAGACATAATGATTTCTGGGCACTAAACAATACATGACTGTAGTTTTTACTTAATTTGTATAAAATATAATCATGCTTCCATTTAAATTCTCCAAGTATTATAGTAATACCATTGTTTCATTGTTTTAGATGGAAACAAAAGGGTTGCATTCTTGAAATGGCCAGCAGAAAATTGGCCAATCATTAACTGTGTTTCACAGGTATGTTGGTAGACATGGCTAAGTGAGCTCTCCAACTGGTTAGGACATCAAAAGATGAAGAGAAGTCCTAACTCGTCACCTAACCATCAGCATAATTACAAAGTTTATTTGTGATAAATAAAAAAAATAACTTGCTGTTTGACTTACTAAGGACAAGACAAACAGCAAAAACCATGAATATCCAGTCTGTGCATAACTGTATACTGATGTTAGTGCCCCCTCCATCTACTTAGGTGTTTCTTTTTATGCTCTCAACATACAGAGTTTGCATGACAAAATTATTACTTATATTCCAATTCCGGGTCCAAATTTGTGAGAAAAAACATCACTTGAGGCCTTCTGGAAGCCCTAGACTGCGAATATGAGCCGCAGTCCAATCAGTGCATTATCAGAAATGAAAAAGAGCAGCTGAAAGAGTGAGTGTGAAATTGTTACAAGGTAAACTGCATGTTAATATTTCTGTCACAAGCATCAAGCACAACATTTTAAAATGTCTTTTAAAATGTCTTGAAATGTCTGTGTTTAAGTTGGAATGGCAAAAAAATGTTAATGTGCATTGCTGTTAGCTTAGCACTAACAAATTATTAGAATTGGGCTGCTAGCAGAAATTAGCATCATCATAGAGAGATGTTTTTCCTCGTGTTTTAACATTTATGGGCTGATTTGAAGGCCTATCTCTAATAGTCATGTTTCCCACTGGGAAAAGTTATGGAAATGATAACTGCTGGAAAAATCTTGTGTTGTGAACTGACTCTCACTACATCTCTCTCCTAACTACTGTAAAAAATTTATAAAAAGTTCCTGTCATTACAGATTTAGTCAGGACTAAAATTACTGAGAAAGCCTAATACATACATTATGTCCCCTCCCTATGTGAAACTAATCCAAATAGGACTTAAGTAACTCATTTCACTGACTAAAGAGTATACATTTTTTACTGTTCACTCACTGGATTAGACATCATATGGAGCTAAATGTAATGAAATGAGGAATGGTGTCAGCCTATTCACTAAGATGTGCACGCAAAGAGTGGCTGTTTTGTGTTTTGATATGATGCTGAACTACTCTTTACAAAGGAAATTGATGGACATGTTTGCACATTAGAATATGGGATGTAAGAGGAGTCAAAATAAATAAAAACAGGCTCTTGATTTATGCAACACTAATGTAGTGAGCAAAATGACAGATCTGTTATCCGAGGTCAAAGTGTTGACACTTGTGCTGATATCCACAGATGCATCAAATTTCAATTTCACTGACAGTTATTTTATTTAAACTGCAGTCTGACTTACTAGTCATGAGTGTGTTTTGTCATTTTAATGAATGTTAGGGCTTGGATACCATGAGTAATGAGTCCTTGGTAACAAGAATTTTGCTATTTTGTACAAAATGCTCATTATCTATTAAATATTTTGATAAAATATCACTAAAACTGGGAAGTTATATCATATGTTATGTCAATATCACAGTATATCCATATAGGGATATATTAGCCAGAGAGTTCTATTAGCCACACCCCAGCATTTTAGAGCAGGAAGTGAGACTGCAGTTCAATCACTTATTTTCATAAAATAAAGATAATTAAGGTACAAGGTCACACAAAGCAAAAATATTTTAGCCTAAAGTCCAATTCAGTTAAAAGTTCAAAATGTGTTTTGAACTCAGTCTTTGAACCAGCTTGGTAGAGTGATCCATTACTGATATACTACCCAGCACTGTGCTAAATGTTTGGCATGGACATTTCATTTTATGTCATAAAAATGTCATTGAAGTCTACTGTTTCAAAAGTTTGAGAACTCTTACAAAAGCAATTCTATTTGAGGCTGCTTAACATCTTGAAATGGTCTGAGGTGAGAGTGTGATGATTAAGGTCCAGTGGTGTAACCAGTAGTTCAGTAGTTGGAGGACCCATGGAGACCGCCCCCACCCTTTTTTCGTTGAGCCCCTCCAGGCTGTCCATCAGGGACACCAGTAGATTTTCCAGCTGGTAGCCTGACCAACTAGTTGGACCGCCAAAAGTCAATTGCACTAAATCCATAAATATCTGAACAAAATCCCTCACCATTCCTCTACCCTCTATCCCTATGTGTCAAACACAAGGCCCGTGGGCCAAGTCAGGCCTGTGGCACAATCCTATTTAGCCTGCGAAATTATTTAAATTTTCGATTAATATTGGACCATTTCACCATGAGCTGCACTAAAATCCCCAGCATGCACTGCAACATAATGTGCACTCCGAGCCCCTTCCCCCCAAAACAATCTATGTGCCAGTGGGTACACAGAAAGAAAAGATGTCTGGTGTCTAGTTCAATCTCCTGGGAGCCTTTAAAGAAGTTTAACAGTTATCTGTAGATAATGCAGCCTATTGTTTCATATAAAAACTATTTTTAAATTTAGAATTATATTTGAATAGTTCAAGTATTCAGTGCCTATTTTGCTGTTGCAGTTTTTGCACATTTTGAAAACAAAAAAACAATGGCCAGTTTGGGTCATGGCAGAATCTCTCTAATCTCTCATGCAGTTGTTCTTTTAAAAGCACATATGCAGTATATGCACATAAACAGTATTAGATCAGAGATGTGCAGCAATACTAACTGGCAAGCTAGCTTGGTTAGTCAACTTGCCTAGAGCATTGTGGTTTGTGTTCACAACTGCATGAATAAAAAAGAAAGGAGAAAAGTGGAGCTGAGAGGGAAAGACAATGTGTGCTCAGAATTCCTAATTCAGCAAGAGAGCAACAGATCAGTTTTTAGCCTCTTCTACTGATCTGGTCACTCTAGCTGTTTCCTTTCATCCGGAAATACCAAATGAATCCACCACTGACAGAGAAGATCCCCCTTATTATTTTCAGACTCTAGCTAACAGAATGTTTGCACATTCGGCATTTGCTTACAAAAACAGCCCAGTTTCTGCTGACTACAGTAGCCATGATGTATATAACTGAATAACTGATTACAAACAGAACCTAACAGAACAGTCATAAATGTGTTGACTTTTGTGACAACACAAAAGCAATAAATTATAAACAGGCTAAATTTGCAGCTCAGTTTCCATATATGTGCTGCATGGAATGGGAAGTGAATGATACATTTTAGTATGTCAAACTTAATGGGGTCACTAGGACTGGGATTAGGAACCCATGAGTTACAGTTTATGTACGCATGCTTTACTACTGCAGCTGAACACCAGAGGGCAGTGTTTATCCACCACAAATTTCACACCTCTCAGTCCCTATGACAAAATCATACATTACCACACAGAAGCCCCCACCCCCTCCACACATACACTCAGTGGGCTTGGCGCAGCCTCTGATAAAAGAGCCATGGGAGTAAATAACTGTTTTGACACAGCAGTGAATAATATTTGATAAACCGCATCAGCAACAGTGTCCTTCGCGGGGGCAATTTTATAGGTGCTGTGTGTGTGTATGTGTGTGTGTGAGTTGGCATGTCTGTTGTGTCTGAGAGTTCGTGTGTGTGTGTACACG